GGGAGGATTCGGAAGGCGACTTGGAGGGGGAGGATTCGGAAGGCGACTTGGAGGGGGAGGATTCGGAAGGCGACTTGGAGGGGGAGGATTCGGAAGGCGACATGTTCGGGAAGGACGGGAAGGGTCGGTGAGTCGACTTGGACGGGGAGGATTCGGAAGGCGACATGTTCGGGGAGGATTCGGAAGGCGACATGTTCGGGGAGGATTCGGAAGGCGACTTGGACGGGGAGAATTCGGAAGGCGACTTGGAGGGAGAGTGTTTGGAAGGCGACATGGATGGGAAGGGTTGGTGAGTCGAGTTGGACGGGAAGAGTTGGTGAGTCGAGTTGGACGGGGAGGGTCGGGAACTCGACCTGGACGGGGAGGATTCGGAAGGCGAAATGGACGGGGAATGGTGGCGGTGCAGCTTCTCGTCGAAGGTGTCTGCTTTCGAGCGCGTGCTTTCCGTTGTGAGGGTGTGGCGAAGGTGGCCGAAATCTCGTTCCAACTGGGCCAATCTAACACCCAAGTCGACTTTTTCTTCGGCCGTCAAGGTCAGATTGGAAGCTGCGACCGACGCAATGATAAATGCTGTCAACTTCATGTTGGGTAGGATGGCCCCTAGTCGGTGAATTGGAATGTGACGGTTGGGGGGGGTCACAAGACGTGGATTTGTCCTGCTGTAGAACGATATCCAGTTCGTTCTTCACCAATTGTGTGGCATTGTCGACAAAACATGGACGATCACTCATACGTCCTGTCATGGTAGAAATAGGACAATGTAACATGGATATAGTATTGGAGTGGTGTGGAACGATCAAGATTGCCTTTTGGGCTGAAAGTTTGAGAATGAGTCTTTGTCATCCAATACAACACCAGAATACACACGTATCGAATAATGCACAATTCGTGTACGGACGAAGTGCTTGTTGTGCTAGATCATGATTCGAACAATGCTGCGGATCCACGTTGTCACAAAGTCCCTGCAGCTGTACTAATCAACCATATTAACGTTATCTTGAGCTGTTAGATCCACCAAGCCATATCAGTCACAACTTTTGTTAGCAAAGTGTGCTTGTCAGAGTATTAACTACACGTGAAACGATTTCACACAAGTTGCAGTAGAAATACCGAAGTCAATGAAAGCCGACGACATGTGGTTCTATTTGGAGGCGGAAATGCGCGGTCATCTCGTTCAAGTCTCGATACATGTTTGTGCCAAATAACGTCTATACGTATGTACATATGGAGTCATTCTGTCAAGTAGGTGCTGGAACCCATCTGCACCTCCTTCGATAAACCCTACACCACCGCGTCCAAACATTCCCAACGACATTCAAACCTACCCCTATTTACAATGCAAAGATTCTCTCCTCTTCTGTCATACCGCGTAACGTGGCTGACCAGTGATGTGCCAATATTGTTATATTTTCTTTTGTGAATTCCTCCACAAGTATTTATCCTATACTACTTCTAGTACATGTATTATACTTCCTTTACTGCCGACATTTCAAAATTGGCATGTTCCAAGTTACTGGCGACATTTGCATTTCATTGGCTGTAATTCTTCAATTTCTATCAATATCGAACATTTATGACATTTCATTGGCTTACAATTGCTTTAAGCGCTGATTATAAACCAATCTTTTGCGAAAATTTATGCAATTCCCAGTCAAACAAAGTATCATTCGCCCAAATTGAGTGAGGGCTCGATTGCCTGTGTCAATTCAAAGTAAATGTCGGCTGTAACCTGGAACAGAGGAAGTATAGCGTACTGTTAACGTTAATACTCCCTTCGACACACTCATTCCAAGAACTGGCAGCCCATCCGTGAGATACAGTGTTAGTCATCCATATCGACCATTCGTGCATACACTAACTAGTTACTTCAAGTACTACTGTATGCATAAATATCAGCGTACGAGCCAGCGACTGCATTAATTAGGAAGTCAGTCGTTTCTGTTGGCAACATGGAGTACTCTGAGTCATCACTTACAAAATCCAAGTACTAACAGTAAATACTACGTAGTACTACTGTTGTAGTAATTATTAATACATCCACTTCCTTAGAGCATCTCCACCGCATCCCCAAATATTTTTGTCCCCATCCCTAAATTAGAGCCAGTTCACTGTTTTCGGGATGTCTGCAAAAAATCTTCCGTTTTGGTAGCTGTCCCAATTGACCTGAAGCCTGAAGTGCATGGTATGACATCGAGAGACGGAGTTATGAACGGTGTTTGCCTCTCTCTAGTTGTAGTTAACTTTTCAGAGGTTTCGGCGGTATGGTATGTCGATGGTGACCATCGCCTTGCTATTGAGTTTCCCAAGGTCGGTGATGCCGGTACTTGCAAGCCTACTTGACCGTAGCGATTCTGTAATCCCACGCACCAAGTTATAGATTGTAATCGTTGCTGTGGACTCTTGTCGGTGATGCGCGACCGGTAGCTTTATGCGGTTGCGCCTCTTGGACAAACCCGCGTCCGCCGCAGCGTCGGAACGAGAGTCACTGGCAATCACTGCCGCAGCGACATTGGTCAGATATCGCTGTATCAGTGAATGCTGGTGACTCTCGTTCAGCCACATCGTCCGCGTGCTCGACGACGACGAGACGTGGTTCACGATACCGACCGCCGGTAAAACGTTCTGACATTGGGAAACTGCACGAATGAACTTGCTTTTTCCATACAAATCGTAGTACTACGTAGTATATTTGTTGGGACAATGAGTTGGGATATCCCAATATTAATAGTGTGCAAATTTCGGGACAAAGTGGATGTCCCAACCCCAAATTTGGTTTTAGGGACATCCGGTGGGGAAGATTTTGTCCCATCTGATGCCCCAATATCGAGTTGGGACTTATTTGGGGATGCGGTGGAGATGCTCTTATACTTACAGTCCACTTCCTTGTACTTACAGTCCCATCTACTACGTAGTACTACGTAGTATGCAGTTTTTTATGCAGAATACGCCTGAATGGTTAATTCTTCGTGAAACTTGATAGCCTTCCAGATTGCATTGTAAAATAAATCACTGTATGTACTAAACTTATTACCCTTTCAAACTCGATAGATATTTATTTGTCTCAGAGTTTGGATATTTTATGCGTGATAGATCCGGATAGTGAATCGCTTCTAGGTGTGCATTGCACGCATTTGCACATTGCAATGCCCCGTGACACCAGCATCACAGAAGTTGAATACTGTCGTACGTTAGGAGCGAGCGGTCAAGAGGGCTGACAAAAGAGAACGCCTGGACATCCTGCGCCTGCATGCACACTTCAGGCACTTGAAGTTAGATTCAGTGAATGAACGCATTGCATTGCTGCTTGGGCGCAGTGAAAAAAAAAACGACAGGTGTGGCAACCGTATAGATATTCAAAGTCAATTTTAGTCAAACAAGTACCAGCTAGCCATACCATACATTCATCACGAGTTCCAAAGACAAAAGCAGTGCTTGCGTCTAATTGTAGAATTTGTCCGTGAGCGACGTCGAACTCGAACCCGTGTTGTTGCAAAAGATGTAATGACAGTTTTAGCACAACATGGTCATGTTGTTTTTGACGAAACCAACAAAAAAGATAAAATGGCATTCTACGATCTGTTCAAGACTACCTATCAAATCAAGGATTCAAACGGGGACACAAAAAAGGTCAGGTCAAATATGGTCTGGCTAATGAAGTTGTTTAGCTGGAGATACATACTGATTTCCCCCCGGCTTTTAAACGGTGGCCGAGTAACAACTTTCAAAGAAAAAAATATATACAGGTACAAATTATTACAACTCAATGGACGCTACGTGTTCGCTGAACGTCGAAAGTTCAGTGTCGAGGATGCCTGTCCGATTCCAGCAGTTGACCACGGTTGCCTGTGACACAGAACGCCAGGCATCCTTTGCCCACGACATTGTCTCCACCAGAGGTACCTCATAGAGTCCGTCGTGCCTACCAGCCATGACTGAATCAATCTGTTGCAGGACGTTCTGCAGCTGCCGCTGCTTGA